TAAAAATGAGCTCAGTAGCTCTCGATGAACTCCTAAGTTCATCACAACGAGCTCGGTCACCTATGGTGGGGAGTTTAAAAAGAAAAACTCTTTCAGAAGAAGTTGCAGAACCATGAGGTCTGTAAGTCCAATATCCTGAAAAACGTAGACAGTTCCCAAGTCCAAAATTGAACTCGGCAGCCTTTTTTCCATTAAAGATAAAGCTGTGCCAGACACCCCCAAGCCTTCAAGAACAAGTTCGTTTTAAGTTCCATGCCTCTCAGTTCACCACAACCTAAGCTCGGCTACATAAACCTACAGAATCACCAAAGCCAACATGAAACGCAGGGAGCAACTAGTGATGAGATTTACCACTTACTCCCATCCAATAAGCTCAAGTATGAAACTCCCAAAGCAAGGGGGACAAGGGAAGACTGAAGTAAAAATGCACAGCTAGAGCACAACTATAGATGAAAATTCAAAGGCATAGTCTCATAGGGTCAGTATACTGTAACTGCAGTTCAGAAAGCTGTGAGTAAACTGTACAACTCAAATCCAGAGAAGTTACATTTTCAAAATGGCTAGAGCACAACTAAAGATGAAAATTCAAAGGCATAGTCTCATAGGGGTCAGTGTACCGTAACTACAGTTCAGAAAGCTGTGAGTCAGCTGTATAACTCAAAACCAGAGAAATTACATTTTCAAAATGGGCTCATAGTTACAAATTTTCGATCATATTTCAAAATAAAATCCTAAGTCTCTGAAGGTGGATTTGGGGAAGGGTTATATAGTTCAGAAGATGAAGTTTCGGCAACGTGAGCAGATTGGGAGCCTGGGAGCTCGACAGAAAAAGTAGCTAGAAAATCTGAAACCTCTGCCGAGGAAGGGGATGGAACATCAGTAGTCGATATAATTGTAGGTCCTAGAGCAGGTAGAGAAAGAGGAATCTCAGGATTTATTAAGGCAGAAATCTCGACCTCCGCTGGAGATAAGCTCAGGGCCAGTGCCTCGAGACGAGGTCTGTTGAGAAGGAAACAACCTCAGGAGTAGGAGGGGGAACATTGTTGAGCTCAGAGTCGACCGCCTTGTCCTCAGCGGGGGGATCAAAATTGAAATCCAGTTCAGGGTAGATCTCTTCAGCCCTGTCCTTAAAAGCAAGCCACCCAGAGGCCCACTGAGTTGTGACATTATCAGCCAGTTTGGCAATTAAGCAATCTTTTTCCTTGACAGCTGCCCTCGCCACCTCGAGTTTATTCCGGAGGACGTCACTCATCTCCGCAATAATGTCATATTCTTTCTTTATAGTTTGAAAGGAACTTAAAGCTTCGAGAGACTATGGGCTGGCTCTGAGCCAATCATCTATTTTTTGCTTAAGTTCCCCTGAGGTTTTCCTGAGCTCTTCCTGTATTTTCTTAAGTTCCCTTGAGGTTTTTCTGAGCTTTTCCTTTGTTTTCTTAAGTTCTTCTTTGTAGCCCTTTCCCTTGCATGCAATCTTCTCCCTCACATCTTCCGGACTCATATTTAAAGAGGTCTGCTTCTCCACCTACTCCTGCAAGTCTTGTACCTGGGCCTTGAGGTCACTATTCTCAAAGGACAGTTCAGTAACCCTGAGTTCCAAAGCCTTGGAAGCTTTAACTGAACCTTCCATGGCTTGGATCCTCTTCAGCAGCCCACTGACATGGGGGGTAATTTGAAAGTGAGAAAAGGTCAGATGAGAAGGAACAAAATGAACAAAACATGTATGAACATAAAACATAAAACTTACGGAGATAGCAGCGAAAAGAGCGGTAGATATAGAGCTCCCACGAGGCATGGTGGAAGCTCACTGGATGTCAGATTCGGGGAGAATGGAAGCAATGGCCTCTGTAGCTCTTTTCACATTATCAATCAAAAAACTCCAACTTGCTTCTGTATTCCCCCCTTTTTCATGCTTACATATCCTAAGAGCCTTCTGAGGAGGCCCCACAGTTGGGCAAGAAGGGATGGATCTAGGCAAGAAGTGAGAAACTGTCTCCAAAGGTTTCTTGACCTCACCTGAAGATGGAGGGGTGGAGACCAAGCTTAGGTCAAGGACCTTACCAGAGGAGGACAGTCCCGTCTTCTAAGGAAATGAGCTATTTGCAACCTCTGGAAAGCCAAAAGAGGATTGGGGCCCCATTTGAGTTACAGAGGACGATTCCAATCTCGGAGCTTTGACTTCAAAAATTGGATCACCCCCTGGGCTGACCTCAACCTTACGTTTGCTTCCAGCCTGAGTCTTCCTCATCATAGATAATTTATCAGAGCGATCATTCGCAATAGGCTCCATTAAGGAAGAACTTGAAAAAATTGATAAAGAACCGTTAAAAAAAAGGGGGAAGGAGAAGAGGTAAAAAGCAGGGACAGAGGTGAAAGGGGCAATACCTGCCAATTCCTTAGCACTAATGGCAAAAAAAGGAGATGAATTTTCTACCCTCACTTCAGGAGGACCAAACCCAAGCCTCACAAGGACTTGAGGTCGAATTAGCTCTAAATATCTCTCCAATTTGCAGTTCGCCAAGTTCCTTAGGACCTGTTCGTTTGCAGCGCTGAGATCTGGCCGGATGCCTGAGAAACGAAACCAACTAAACAAGGTCAGCCTAAGGGAAAGCTAGAACTTATTTCAACTGTCATAAAAAGAAGATCACCCAAGTTGTCAGAGGCATACCACCCCCGAGGGACGGGAAGAGTGTCCATCATGTCGGCAAAATTAAACTCCCATTCCCTCCCTCACACGAAAAAGAATAATTTTTTCTAACGTTTGTGGGAGCTCGGGAGATCAGAGATAAGAACCTTGACTTTCACTCGTTTAGAGATGTACAAAAAGCCATCAATGGGGAGATATTTGGCATTGAAGAATTTCATGAGCAAAGACACGATGGAAAAACCTAGATCATATCTCTTAAAGAAGACAAGAAGACCAACCAACACCCCCCAAAAGTTAGGAGAAAGCTGGGCAGGGCAGAAATTGAAATGTTGCAAAACATTTTTGATGAAGGGATGGAGAGACCGTTCTCAAAAATAGCCAGAAAGAAGCACACTTTTTTAGGGATAAAGGAATCGTATAAGGTAAACATATCCGGACTCCAGAATTAGAGGCCTTGAGGAAACCCAAAGCGGGCAGTCAGCACCTTCGTGTAAGAAGGAACAATGTCATTACACCCCACGAGCTCGGAGGCCCTAAGGTCAGCAACACCACCCTCAGCACTGCCTGAAATCTCCACACCACTTACTTTGGTTTTGCCTTTGCTGGAAGATTTCAAGGCAGGAGGAGGCTCCTCAATGCCTCTCTCGACATTGACAGAATCCACTCCAGAAAAATCATCTATCTCTAACCCCACATCCCTTAGGTCAGAATCTTCCTCAACGGACCCATCTTTCATTAGCGAAATGGACGATCCCATGGCTTCAGAGGAAGCAAACATAGCTGGACAAGCATAAGGAAACTTAAAAGACCTATAAAGAGGGGGGACCTCGGAGAAACACTCTTTGAGAGCCCAAGGAGCAGACATCGAAAATTAATGGCGAAAATCCTAACTGTGGAGTAAGGGTCCAAGAAGAGAAGAAGACGAGACAGGGGAATACTTCGGCTCCTAGAGTAGCAGAATCGAAAGGCCCAAAAATGCCAAAACCACCTCAGACTTGAGGGATCCAGGGCAAGGAGCGGGAAAAATGTACCTAATCGTGAATTGGTGATGGATTAAAGCTCGAGGAGGGGATTCGAAACCAAATCACGCTAAGCCTCCAAGTCAAAATTGGGAAAATCGTCCCTCAGAGAAAACCCTAAAACCAGTGGCATAATGGGGATGATGAAGTCGTGAAAGGATAAAGATGCCAAAAATGATCTGTAAAGTGAGGAGCAAATTGGTGATCCAGGGGTATTTAAAGCTAACAGTACCGTAGGCCTTGAAACGGGCAACGTGCGCAAGGAAGGAGGAAGGAAATGATTACTGACAACCGCTTTAAAAATAAATAATAATAATAATAATAATAAATATATATTCCAGCGTAAATTTTGAAGTCGCTGATTGGGAAGCCATTACTGTTACATCCTAAGTTCAGCCCTTGCCCAAGCTAGCTCGGCCAAGAGCTGGGGGGGCAACTGATGATACTTAGAATGATTTTCGAGCAGAAGCTCGGGAACGAAGGTCAAACATGGAGGTCAGGTATGCTGAGCTCAGAAAGTCAGAGCTATGCAGAGCTCTGAAAATCAAAGCTAGAGCTCCCCTCAAGCGAGATAATAAGCTGAAGCAATAAGGAAGCAACTAGATATTACAAAAAACTCGACAGGCAGTTTGAAGTAACACTCAAGGCGCAGAATTTCTCGGATAAATGACGAGGATCACAGATCAGATCCTATAGATTAAAGATCACTCCTATAAATACTATGTAACGCCCCCAACATAGAGGCAAAACCCTAGTATCACATCTTACATTCTTTAAATCTTTTGGTATAGTAAATAGTGAAGAAAGAAGCAAGAATCTCAATTGAAGAGTGGATTCGCCGAGCTCCCGAGCTGATTAACCACTATATTTCTATTATGTTAATTTCCCAACTCCTCAACAATTCTCAGTATCATTCTCTCGAATCTAGAAGTTCAAATTCCAATAATTTCAATATTATTTATTTTATTTATTTGTCATCATAAAATTACATCACGTTAAAATACATCATCATCAATAATATTCCTCACTTTAATTTAAGGTCGGCTGTGACATCGTACACATCCTCAGGAGTCAGGACAAACAATACCTCCCATCAAACTGTCTGTATAGGCTTGCTCATTCGCATAATAAGAAGAGGTCCCCCTAAAAGGGCAAATCCGTCCAAAAAAAAAAACCTAATATTTTGTGAAAAATGCTATAGCATTGCTCATATATTATACATATATTTTCATCGTTCAAAACTAACTACAGTAGGACAATAATAATTAACCATGGTTAGGTTTCCCGCACGGCCACACAACAACTCTATTTAAGCACTCTCTCACTCTTCTTCTCCTCACTCCACACTTCCACCACCTCACAAGTTCTTCTGTTCTCTTTCAGTGACTCTCTATTTCAAGTTTCACCATTCCCTTTCTCTTTCAAGTTTCATCACTCTCTTTCTCTCTCAAGATCATCACCCTTTTGTTTTACTCCATTTTTGAGCTGCCCATCATCAGAAAACCGCTTTCTTTATACGTCAAAAATACCCCAAAATGTCGTCAGAATACTACACTAACTTCCTTCCTCAAACTGGGTACTCCTCATCAGTGTTCACCTTTGAGCTTTTCCTCTTTGCCAGTCTCTTCGTTGCCATCTTTGCTTTTGGGGTCTTCCCAGGAGGGCTTGCTTGGGCTCTTTCGAAAGCAAAAGCTCGGTCTAAGACAGCAATTCCCGGACCTTCTGGCCTACCACTTCTGGGCCTAGTCTTTGCTTTCACTGGTTCTCTGACTCACAGAGTTCTCGCTAAGCTCTCTCAAAGCTTCAAGGCCGCACAGTTGATGGCGTTCTCTATTGGGCTCACTCGTTTTATCATTTCGACCAACCCCGAGACTGCCAAAGAAATTTTGAGTAGCTCTGCTTTTGCTGATAGGCCTGTGAAAGAGTCTGCATATGAGCTTCTGTTCCACCGAGCAACGGGTTTTGCTCCTTATGGAGATTACTGGAGGAACTTGAGAAGAATTTCAGCCACTCATCTGTTCAGTCCTAAAAGAATTGCTTCCTTCGGACAGTTTAGGAGAATGATTGGGATCGAAATGGTTAAAGAAATCATGGGTTCCATGGAGAAAAATGGTGAGGTTGAGGTGAAAAGGGTTTTGCACTTCGGGTCTTTGAACAATGTAATGATGAGTGTTTTTGGTAAAAGCTTTGACTTCAGTGAAAATGGAGATGGCTCTGAGCTAGAGGGTTTGGTGAGTGAAGGGTATAAGTTGCTGGGGATATTCAACTGGAGTGACCATTTTCCTGTCTTGGGATGGCTGGATTTGCAAGGAGTGAGAAAGAGGTGCAGAGAGTTGGTGGCTAGGGTGAATGTTTTCGTGGAGAAGATTATAGCGGAGCATAGGTTAAAGAGAACTGAGAATGAAGGAGTTGTGGATGAGAGCTCTGGTGATTTTGTGGACGTCTTGCTTGATTTGGAGAAAGAGAACAGGCTTAGTGACTCTGACATGATTGCAGTGCTATGGGTACTTTTCCTCTTATCTTCCTTTGCCAAATCATATTCTTTTGCTAGGATAAAACACACAATTGTGTTCAAAACACACACACACACACACATTTGTTCTCCCAGATATTCTTAGATTCTCTCATACCTAACTTGGAATTCTGATTTATTATGTTAACCAGGATATTACTGTCGAGTCTTCCAGTTTTTTTTTTTAGTTGCTTTGGTCCATGTTGTCGTTGCTTGATCACGTTACTTATTTTGTGGTTTTGAACGTTTTTACTGAACTTTTCTTGAGTTCTAATAAACTGTTTTTGTTGGTTCTTTTATCGATACCGTTGTGTAGATGCTGGAATATAGATATGTATGTACCAAAATAAAAGGAATATAGATCTGTGTATTTTCTCTTTTCCCTTATCCAAAGATATGGAGAATCTGAATATCTTCGACCTTTTTTGGTCTGACGATGACACTGATATTTTCTTATCTTATGCTCTCTGCTTTTGTTTCTCCTGCTTTTTTTTGTACTGAAAAAGCTTTATTTTCATTTTTTAGATATATTTTGATGAGTAATACTAGATGTTTTTTGTACTGAAAAAGCTTTATTTTCATTTTTTAGATATATTTTGATGAGTAATACTAGATGAAGTTAAAAATTAAACTTGATAATTTTAACTATTGAATAGGTAGTGGGTCTTAATAAATGCTGGATCCATAAAAAAATCAATGATTGAGATTATCAAGTCTAATTTTTAAGTTTACTTTTTAAGTCCACGTAGCATTGCTCTATTTTCATTAGTAAATTTAGTAAGATAAATTTAGTGGATGTTAGGGGTAGAGTAAATTTAGTGGATGTTAGGGGTAGAAATTGCGCGTTCGGATCTCATCCCTGAACTCAAGAATTCTGGCTGACCTGGACCCCTTTCTAGGGCAATCCAGTAGCATTTACCTCTCAGGGCTCATGCGGAGCTTCGTCCCACATCGACTGAGAGTCATCTACCCCACCCCTTAAAAGCCTAAGCCCCTTAGGGATGGGTACCCACTAGCCACCCATCCCTAAAGAGCTCAAGCTTATAAGGGGGTGGGGGAGACGACTCTCAGTTGATGTGGGACGAAGTTCCGCACGGGTACTGAGAGGTAAAGGCTACTGAATTGCCCTAGGAAGGGGTCCAGGTCAGCCAAAATTCTTGAGTTCAGGGATGAAATCCGAACATGCGATTTTTATCCCTAACAGTGGATATTTTTTCGGGCATAATTTATAGAGAAATTAATGGAAGTTCTATTTGGTTTCAGGAAATGATCTTCAGGGGGACTGATACAGTGGCAATTCTCCTAGAGTGGATTCTTGCAAGAATGGTTTTACACGTAGATATTCAGGCGAAAGCTCAATTAGAAATCGACACTGTTGTTGGACCAACAAGATCTGTATCAGATTCTGACCTGGCTAACCTTCCTTACCTCCAGGCCATAGTGAAGGAAACTCTTAGAATGCACCCACCTGGCCCACTTCTTTCCTGGGCCCGCCTAGCCATCCACGACACTCACGTCGGTGACCACTTTGTCCCTGCCGGCACCACTGCTATGGTGAACATGTGGGCCATAACTCACGACGAAAAGGTCTGGACGGAGCCAAATGAGTTTAGGCCAGAGAGGTTCATGGAAGAGGATGTTGCGATTATGGGTTTCGACCTTAGGTTGGCACCATTTGGTGCTGGGAGGAGGGTTTGTCCTGGGAAGGCTATGGGGCTAGCAACTGTTCAGCTCTGGTTAGCCCAGCTGCTTCAGAACTTCAAATGGGTTGCTTCTAAGAATGGTGTGGACTTGTCTGAATGCTTGAAGCTCTCCTTGGAGATGAAACGCCCCTTGGTTTGCAAAACTATTCCTAGGGTTTGTTGAAAGTTTGGTATGCTGGTTTGATCTCTTCCATGATTTTGAAACATGTTATTTAATGAGGAGATCATATATATGCTATGAATAATGTTACATGGACTTAAACACTATACTTAAAAATTAGACTTGAAAATCTCAACCATTGAATAGATAGTGGGTCCTAATAAATATTGAAACCTACAATAAAATCAATCGTTGAAATTATCAAGTCTAATACCTTTAGTTATATTAGTATTATGTTTGTTAGAAGAAAATCTATTATAAGGAACTAGTAGTATCGTTAACCAGAAAGCTATAGCGGTTTTGCATAAGGGTTTTGTTAGGCTCATGCAGACATGGAGTCTCATGTATTGTACTCAATTTTTCTTGGTCATACTGTCCAAAGCAATAGTTCCAATTAGTTATTATCTTTAAGTGACAACGCCGGGTCTTTTTAAGTCTGATGGTGTATTTCAATGTGATGCAATTTTGTGACGACGGGTAAATGAAAGAAACAATCTTGGAATTATTGGGATCTGAACTACTAGGCTCGAGGGAGTGATACTGAGATTTGTTGGGGAGTTGGGGAATTAACACAATAGAAATATAGTGGTTCACCGGTTCAAGAGCTCGATTAATCCACTCTTTAATGAAAATTCTTGCTCATTCTTTCACTATTCACTATATCAAAAAGGGTTACAGAATGTACGATGTGATATTAAGGTTTTTGCCCCTCTGTTGGGAGCGTTACATTGTATTTATAAGGGTATCCCTTAATCTATGGGATCCGATTCGTGATCTTTGTCATTTATCTGAGGAATTCTCCTTAGTTTTAAGAGAGTATCTTGGTTGGTTGAGAATTTTGTGGCTTGAGTGTTATTTAAAACCGTCTTTCGAGTTCTTTGTAGTATCCAGTTGCTTTATCCCTGCTTCAGCTTATTATCTCGCTTTGAGGGGAGCTCTAGCTCTGATTTTCTAAGCTCTGCATAGCTCTGACCTTCTGAGCTCAGCTTACCTGACCTCCGTTCCCGAGCTCCAGCTCAGGAATCATTCTAAGTAACATCAATTGCCCTTCAGCTCTTGGCCGAGCTGGCTTGGGCAAGGGCTGAACTTAGGATGTAACTGTGATGCTTCCTAATTAGTTTACGCGGGAATATATATATATATTTATTATTATTATTATTTATTTTTAAAGCGGTTGTCAGTAATCATTTCCTTCCTCGTTCCTTATACACGTTGCCCGTTTCGAGGCCCAAGGTACCATTAACTCTAAATACCCCTGGATCACCGATTTGTTCCTCACTCTACAGATCCTTTTTGACTTCTTTATCCTTTCACGACTTCATCTTCCCCATTTTGCCACTGGTTTTAGGGTTTTCTCTGAGGGACGGTTACCCCAGTTTCGACTTGGAGGCTTAGCGTGATTTGGTTTTGAATCCCCTCCTCGAGTTTTAATCCGTCACCAATTCGCGGTTAGGTACGTTTTTCCTTTCTTTCCCAGCTCCTTGCCCTGGATCCCTCAAGCCTGAGATGGTTTTGGTATTTTTGGGCCTTTCAATTCTGCTACGTTAGGAGCCGAAGTATTCCCCTGTCTCATCTTCCTTTCTTCTTGGACCCTTACTCCACAGTTAGGATTTTTGCCATTGGTTTTCGGTGTCTTGCTCCTTGGGCTTTCATAGAATGTTTCTCTGAGGTCCCCCTTCTTTATAGGTCTTTTAAGTTTCCTTATTCTTGTCCAGTTATGTCTGCTTCCTCTGAAGCTACGGGATTGTCTGTTTCGCTAATGAAAGATGGGTTTGTTGAGGAAGATTCCGACCTGGGGGATGTGGGGTTAGAGATAGATGATTACCCCGGAGTGGGCTCTGTCAATGTTGAGGGAGGTACTGAGGAGCCTCCTCCTGCCCTAAAATCTCCCAGCAAAGGTAAAACCAAAGTAAGTGGCGTGGGGATTTCAGGCAGTGCCGAGGGTGGTGTTGCTTCCCCCAAGGCCTCCAAGCTCGTGGGGTGTAGTAACATTGTTCCTTCTTACATGAAGGTGCTGGCTGCCCGCTTTGGGTTTCCTCATGGCCTCCAGTTCTGGAGTTCGGATACGTTTACCTTAACGATTCATCTATCCCTAAAAAAGTATGCTTCTTCCTGGCTGCTTTTGAGAACGACCTCTGCTTTCCTCTGCATCCTTTCATCAAAAATGTTTTACAACATTTCAATGTCTGCCCTACCCAGCTTTCTCCTAACTTTTGGGAGGTGCTCGTTGGTCTTTTTATCTTCTTTAAGAAACATGATCTGGGTGTCTCCACCATGTCTTTGCTCATGAAATTCTTCAATGTCAAATATCTCCCCACTGATGGCTTTTTGTACATCTCCAAACGAGTGAACACCAAAGTTCTTATCTCTGATCTCCCGAGCTCCCACAAGCGCTGGAAAAAATTATTCTTTTTCGTGTGGGGGAGGGAATGGGAGTTCAATCCTGCCGACGTGACGGACACTCTTCCCGTCCCTCGGGGGTGGTCTGCCCCTGACAACTTGGGTGAGCTTCTTTTTACGCAAGTTGGAATAAGTTCTACCTTCCCTTAGGCTAACCTTGTTTGGTTGGTTTCATTTCTTAGGCATCCGGCCAGACCTTAATGCCACAAACGAACAGGTCCTAAGGAACTTGGCGAACTGCAAATCAGAGAAGTATTCAGAGCTAATCCAACTTCAAGTCCTTGTGAGGCTTGGGTTTAGTCCTCCTGAAGTGAGGGTAAAAAATTTGTCCCCTCTTTCTGTCATTAGTGCTGAGGAATTGGCAAGTATTGTCCCTTTCACCTCTGCCCCTGCCTTTTACCTATTCTCTTTCTCCTTTCTCTTTTTTTTTAACGGTTCTTTCTCGATTTTTTTAGATTCGTCCTTAATGGAGCGCACTGTGAAGGATCGCTCTAATAAATTATCTATGATGAGGAGGACTCAAGCTAAAAGCAAACGCAAGGTTGAGGTCAGCCCCGGGGGTAATCCAATTGTCGAAGTCAAAACTCCAAGACTGGAATCGTCCTCTGTAACTCAAATGGGGCCCCAATCCTCTTTTGGCTTTCTGGAGGTTGCAAGGAGCTCCTTTTTTCAGAAGACGGGATTGCCCTCCTCTGGTAAAGTCCCTGACCTAAGCTTGGTCTCTACCCTTCCCTCTACAGGTGAGGTCGAGAAATCTTTGGAGACAGTTTCTCCCCTCTTGTTTGGAGCCATCCCTTCTTGCCCAGCTGTGGGGCCTCCTCAGAAGGCTCCTAGGATACGTAAGCATGAAAAAGGGGGGAATGCAGAAGCAAGTTCGGGTTCTTTGATTGATAATGTGAAAAGAGCTGCAGAGGCCATTACTTCCATTCTCCCCGAATCTGATATCCAGCGAGCTTCAACCATGCCTCTTGGGAGCTCTATATCTACCGCTCTTTTCGCTTCTACCTCCGTTAGTTTTATGTATTTCGTGCATACATGTTTTTTTCATTTTGCTCCTTCTTATCTGACCTTTTGTCACTTTTAGATTGCCCTCCATGTCAGCGAGCTGCTGAAGAGGATCCAAGCCATGGAAGGTTCAGTTAAAGCTTCCAAGGCTTTTGAACTCAAGGTTGCCGAGCTGTCCTTTGAGAATAGTGACCTCAAGGCCCAGGTGCAGGACTTGTAGGAGCAGGTGGAGAAGCAGACCTCCTTAAATAGGAGTTTGGAAGAGGTGAGGGAGAAGATTGCACGTGAGGGAAAGAGCTGCAAAGAGGAACTTAAGAAAACAAAAGAAGAGCTCAGGAAAACCTCAGAGGAACTTAAGCAGAAAATAGATGATTGGCTCAGAGCTAGTCGGGAGTCTCTCGAAGCTTCAAGTTCTTTCCAAACTATGAAGAGAGAATATGACATTATTGCAGAGATGAGTGACGTCCTCCAAAACGAACTCGAGGTGACGAGGGCAACTGTCAAGGAAAAAGATTGCTTAATTGCCAAACTGGCTAATGATGTCACAACTCAGTGGGCCTCTAGGTGGCTTGCTTTTCAGGACAGGGCTGAAGAGATCTACCCTAAACTGAATTTTAATTTCGATCCCCCTGCTGAGGACAAAGCAACCGACTCTGATCTCAACAATGTTCCCCCTCCTGCTCCTAAGGTTGCTTCCTTCTTAGCCGACCTCGTTTCCGAGGCACTGGCCCTAAGCTCATCTCCAGCGGAGGTCGAGATTTTTACCTTAACAACTCCTGAGATTCCTCTTTCTCTACCTGCTCCAGGAACTACAATGACTATCGAGGTTCCATCCCCTTCTCCGGCGGAGGTTTCAAATTTTCCAGCTACTTTTTCTGTCGAGCTCCCAGGCTCTCAATCTACTCATGTTGTTGAAACTTCAACTTCTGAACTATAGAACCCTTCCCCAAATCCACCTTCAGAGACTTAGGATTTTATTTTGAAATATGATCAAAAATTTGTAACTATGAGCTCATTTTGAAAATGTAACTTCTCTGGTTTTGAGTTATACAATTGACTCACAGCTTTCTTGACTATAGTTATGGTATACTGACCCTTACAAGACTATGCCTTTGAATTTTCATCTTTGAGTTGTGCTCTAGCTGTGCATTTTTACTTTCTTCCCTTGTCCCTCTTCTTTAAGGAGTGCTGAGCTCTTCTTGAAGCAAGAATGCTTTGGGAGTTTCATACTCGAGCTCATTGGATGAGAGCAAGTGGTAAATCTCATCACTAGTTGATCCTTACGTTTCATACTGGCTTTGGCGATTTTAGAGGTTTATATAGCTGAGCTTAGGTTGTGGTGAGCTGAGAGGCATAGAGCTTAAAGCGAACTTACTCTTAAAGGCTTGGGGGTGTCTGGCACAACTTATCTTTAATGGGAATAAGGCTGCCGAGTTCAATTCTAGACTTGGGAACTGTCTAGGTTTTTCAGGATGTTGGACTCGTAGACCTCATAGTTCTGCAACTTCTCCTAGAAGAGTTTCTTTTTTAGACTTTTCGTCGTAGGTGGCCGAGCTCGTTGTGACGAACTTAGGAGTTCATCGAGAGCTACTTAGCTCATTTTTATGAACTTAAGGGTTCATCGTGAGCTTCTGAGCTTATTCCTATAACTTAGGAGTTCATCGTAAGCTATTGCACTCATGTCTATGAACTTAAGGGTTCATCGTGAGCTTCTGAGCTC